AGGGCAGCTAAAAAAATCTGATGCTTTCTTGGCCTGAAAAAAGAAGGGCAGAGCCCCAAAGGGAAGGAAGGTAATTGTTCTTCCATGTCCTGCCCTGGTCCTTCTAACACCTAGAGTCTTACATTCGCTTCTGAGTAGGAATGTCATTGATAAGATGGAGGGCAACCAGGAGGGAAAAGGGCCTTAAGTCCATGTCATATGGAAATGGGGTGAAGCAACTGGTGATGGTTAGCCCAAAGGGGAGAAGACTTGGTGGGGGGGGATCTTAATCATTGCCATGAAGTATTTGGAGGACTGTCATATGAGATTCCTTTGTGTTCCCTTTGACCAGAGAGTAGAACCAGAAGCAATATGTGGGAGTTGCAAAACGGCAAATTGAGGCAAATTAGAACTATGTATAAGCGGGGTGGTTGACCTTGGGAGGTAGTGGTTTCTGCCCTTCTCAGAGGTTTGCAGTCAAAAGCCGGAAGACCAGTTGTCAAACATGTTATAGTGGGGGATTCTTTTCAGTTACAGGTTGGAGTAGATGGTCACTGAGATCTAAAATTCTCTACTTCTTTGCAATGATCTGCTCTTAGATTGGTGGCTTATACAATCTCCTGAGTGGAGAGCATAGTATTGGGGGGCCTATGGTCTCCTGATTTGTAAACTTAATGACACAAAATACTCTGACGTTGCGTGTTTTAAAATTAGCAAAGGGCTCTAGAGCTAGGGTTTTGGGGTGGCACAGTAGATAGAACACTGGACCTAGTGTCACAAAGACCTGAGTTCAGTTCAGCCTCTTGACACTTCCTAGCTGTGTGACCCTAGGCAAGTCACTTAACCTCTAATTATTTCAGTTTCCCTAAGTATAAAATGAAGGCAATAACAGCACCTACCTCCCCGGGTTGTTGTAAGGATCAAATGAGATAATATTTGTAAAGTGCTTAGCACAATGCCTGGTACACAGAAGATGTTTAATAAATGCTTATGCCCCTCACTTACCCCATTTGGGATTTTTACAGGATTTTTTGTTGTGTTATTTCAGGCATGACTCTCTATGACCCCATTTAGGGTTATCTTGGCAAGGGTACTGGAGTGATTTGCCATTTCTTTCTCCAGCTCATTTTATAGATGAGAAACTGAGGCAAGGATATTTGAAGACAATGAATCGGGTTAAAGCGACCTGCTCTGGCCTTGGACAGATTCATTGAAAACTTTTGGGAGTGTCTATGCTATGCTGATATTTCAAACTATATTTTGATTACATCCTTTTAAGAAAAGATTTGGCAAAAATTATTCATCAGCATGTGCACCACACTAACAGAATATATGCAAGATTTAAAAAAAAATTCATACATAGTGTCTAGGCTGTAATTTGACAGTGGTTTTCCAGTGCAAACTCTACTTCCCTCACCAACAAATTGATTCAATCAATCTGACAATGAGCGTGGCCCAAGGGAAAATTTGTTTCGCTTCATGATTTGTTTACAAGGGTTTTGTTTTTCTTTTTTTTTCTATTCTAGTGAGGTTAGGGGTGAAGGGGAAAGAGGGAGAGGAAATCAGCTTTTGTGAACTGAAAAAAATTATTTTAAAAGAAGTCAGATTGCATTTCTTTAAATGGTTTTGAAATATTCTATACGCTTATTTGTGCTCTAGTAACACTACTGAACAACAGTTCAATTGGACACTGTTTGATTATGTGTAGGGTTGAGCAATCACATGGCTCTTTGGCTATTAGAAGGCTGGCTGTTAGCAGCAGAATTGATCCTTCTGATTCTGATACAGAAAGGACTTTATACCATCCTTTGGACATATCAGAGAATGTAAAAAACTGGCTAAAGGATATAGGAAGGAAGACTGATCAGGTCACTAGGTGACCTATCAGAAACCATGGAGTGTCCCAGGATTTCCAAGGGCGTAAGTGCCCAAAATGTCACTTGGAAACTAGTTATTAAACTCCTATAGTATATCTTACAGTATGTTGCTTACAAGAAACACACCTGAAGCAGAGAAACATACAGAGTAAAGGAAAACCTAGAAAAACTGGTACGAACTGATACAAAGTGAAATGAGCAGAACCAGGAAAACATTGTACACAGTATCAGCAGCATCATGTGGTGATCAGCTGTGAATGCCTCAGCTTTTCTCAGCAACACAATGATCCAAGACAAGTACAAGGACTCCTAAAGCAAAATGCTATCTATATCCAGATAAAGAACAAATGGACTCCGAATGCAGATCGAAGCGCATTTTTTTTTACTGACTTTATTCTCTCTTGTGTTTTTTTCTACTTTTGATCTGTTTCTTCTTTTACAACCATGATAAATATAGAAATATGATTTCCATGATAGCATATATATAAACTATATCAAACTGCCTACTGTTTTCAGAAGAGGGGAGGGGAGGGTGGGAAGGAAAAAAATTTGGAATTCAAAATCTTGTAAAAATGAATGCTAAAAATTTTCTTGATTTGTAATCATGGGAAAAGTTAAAATACTATTTAAAGCAAAACAAACAAAAACCCTATATTGCTAATGAGGAGCTGGAGAACAAATTTATGACTTTCATGGTGAGAGAAATTTGGACCAAAGGTGATAGAAGAAGCCTGCTGAGGAGGACCGTGACACTGTGGGCAGCAGCCAGTGACAACGACCACAGCCACCAAATAATTAAAAGTCAACGTCGCCAAATTACAAGGAAGGAGCATTGCCCCGGTGCTCCAGACAGGAGAAAACATCACCCCTCCTTCGCAGAAGTGAGAGGGCCATAGGCAGGGATGTCATGAGGCTCAAATGAGCCACTAGATGTACAGCACTTTGCAAACATGATTGTTATCATCATTCCCTGAACTTTCCACTTTCCTTCTGCTGAGCTCAAACACTATTTATAGAATGTAGGGGTGTGCTGATATAGATTTAACAACCAGGTTCTCAATAAAAATGCATACATAAATTTAATCTGAATTATTAACATGTTCTTAAGCCCAATGAACAAAAGTATAAATCAGACCCTGATTGGTAGCAATTACTGATTTCTGTGATGTAAATGATCACCCTGAAAATATAATAAGCCACTCTTGCAGGCTGGTGAGAGTTGGTTCCTGCACATCCCTGTGCACAAGCAGGGAACACTGCAGATATTTTCAGACTTCTTCAATATGGCAATCAATTTTGCTGGGGTTTTTCCTCTTCTTACTCTTTTCTTCTCTTTTTTCTTTAAAAATGTTATTGGTTGGGGAAGGAGCCAAGATGGCAGAGAAAAGACAGATAACTTCCCTGAGCTCTCCCAAATTCCCCTCCAAACAACTTTAAAATAATGCTTCAAAATGAATTCAGGAGGGGCAGGACCCACAAAAGGATGGGGTGAAAAAATTTTTCAGCCCAAGACAACCTAGCAGGTCAGCAGGTAAGATCTGTCAAACCAGGATGAGAGTGGACAGTCCAGTACAGACAATACCCCCTTAAGACAGCAGCAAGCCTTGGGGGTAATTGAATTGGCCATGGCAGCTTCAGGAGCTCTAAGCCCACAGATGGTAAAGGGGTCAGACAACTTGTCATAAGGGGATTATAGGGGTCCCTTTGCTGGCATTGGGGGCAGGACCATGTGCAGGTTGCAGTCCTGAGTCACAGCTCCAGGATGAGGATGAGCAGCAGCACACCAGACCTTGTGGCCACAGGGGTGTGGGGACCCTGGTCACAGCTCCAGAGCAGAAGAGAGTGTTCATGATCACTCACAGACCAGAGCACAGCCATATGAGCAGTGACCACACCTCTTCGTAGATCATACCACCTTGGAAGAACTGAAAACGTACAGACCCCCAGAACTAGCTCTGAAAATAGCTACCAAAAAACCTAGAGTTTAGAACAGTGCCCCTTCCACCCCAAGAGCAGATCCCAACTTTAACGTAAAGTCAAATGGCAAGAAATAGGCTGGAAAATGAGCAAAAAAGAAAAAAAAGAAGAAGAAGAACATGACCACTGAAAGTTACTATGGTGACAGGGAAGACGAAACAAACTCTGAAGACAACAAAGTCAAAACCGTTACATCCAAAACCTCAAAAAAAAAAAGTGAATTAGTCTCAAACCCAAAAAGAATTTCTGGAAGAACTCAAAAAGTATTTGAACTATCAAATAAGAGAGGAAGAGAAAAAGACTGAGGAAAGTAAAGAAAGTGATGCTGTAAGACAATCATGAAAAAAACAGCTCTTTAAAGGAGGCATCAAAAATAATAAAGAAAACAGTACCTTAAAAATCAGAATAGGCCAAATTGTAAAAGAGGCACAAAAATCCACTGAAGAGAAGAACTCCTTAAAAAGCAGAAGGAGCCAAATGGAAAAAAATGTACAAAAATTCACTGAAGAGAAGAATGCCTTAAAAATTAGATTTGGCCAAAAGGAAAAGGAAGTACAAAAGCTAAATGAAAAAAAAAATTCCTTAAACAAATATTATTTGTTAAATGAGATGGTTTTCCTGGAAGGGGAAAAGAATAATATGAGAACTTTTAAAAAGGCAAAAAACAAACAATATCAGTTAAAATTATTTTAAAAATAAAATAACAATTTTCTAAACTGTGCTACAGACACGTTCTCTTATCTAAGCCCTGTGAGGTAGGTACTACAGGTATTTTTATCCCCATGTTACAGATGAGGAAACAGAGGATCAGAGCAGTAAAGTATCTTGTGCAGGGTCACATAACAAGCGTCAGAAGAATTTGAACCCAGTCCAAACTTCCTGGATATCTTGAGGCACCTTGGTATCATCATTCCTCTGCCTCCAATTTCTACATTTTGCCCTGGTAGTGACAAGCAAGTCAATCCTTTATTTATGGAAAGATTGTGACAATCCACTACCTTATGGCTCCCCTCACCATCCCTGTGACTCCTCAAACAAAGAAATCCTGTCTCTAGACACTGCTCCCCTATTCAATTATCTCCCAAGGTAGAATGTGAGCTCCTTGAAGGCAAGAATTATTTTGCTTTTGTATTTGTGTCTCCTGTCTCTAACACAGTAGCTGGCACACAGTAGGGGCTAAAGAAATGATTTTTCATTCATTCATTCATTCATTCATTCATTGTGTACATTCACTAAGCCATATTTGGTAATGACCTTGAAGCACCTCACTTTTTACCAGCTCCCCATCCCCACACAGTGTCTTGGTCAAAGGCAGACCCCATGGCACTTCTCCTGGGTGGAGAAAGCCAGCCAGAGGACAAAAGGGATCCAGAGTGGAGTCCATGAGCAGTAAGAACCAAACAGTGGGCAGAAGATTGGAAGGGGTAGAATGGTGGCCATGGTCAGACTTGCCTACAGTTTCTGGATCTTCTCTTCAAAGGCTTTGTCAGGGAGTAAAACTTCCACCGTGTAGCTGACCTTCTTGGAGTGGACCAGACTGTAGGTGTTGTCAAACCGCAGGACATCTGCAAGGGACAGACAGACATGCAGAGAGGTATACCTTCTGTAGCTCCCCACTGTCTACTGAATTAGGCCTAAGCTCCTGACCAGCATGGAAGGCCAGGCCCAATGTGCCTCCAACCTGCCTGCCAAGCTTTACTTCCTAATACTCCCCTTGCAGCATCTTATGAAGAAGGGGTCGATCAGGGGACCCCTCACCATTTGAGGTTCTCCAAAGCCATTTGAGGATATTACAGGATGAAAGGGGCAGGTAATGGAGACAATGAGGTGCAAAGATTTTGCCTCTTTCACACGCTGAGGTGTTGCATTCATAGCTTTCAAATTGTCTACAACCTTGAGTGGCTCATGGCCAATGAGTATAGGGATCTATTCACAGACTTCAGAGAGTGTGAAGCTGGTGGGGGCCCATGTGCACCTTGCAAAGGGTTTTCTCCTTACAGACTTGAATGAGTCAATGCAGAAAAGTGTTTCTACTTGTCCTGCATCAAGCTGACTGAGTGATACAGTGGGTAGCTATTGGCTGAAAGGTCAGCCATACCTCTGGTGTGGACTTAAAAGGTACAAACCAGCTCGGAGGAAGTTATCTCTGGCAGATGCAAAGAAAGATAGTTATAGAAGAAGGTTTCTGCTTCTCTCTTCTTTCTCCATAGCCCATTTTTCAGAGTACACCAGTGAAATTTTTTTCTCTTTCACCCCCAGGCCCATTAATAATGAGCTCTTACAGTAGAGCAATGAAAAAAACAAACCCCAAGCATTTATTAAGCACCTACCATATGCCAGGCATGTAAAAAATATTTCATTTAATCTCTGAAACAGCTCTAGGACCTAAACAACATCATAATATACGTTTTGTAGTTGAGGAAACTGAGACAAATAGAGTTGAAGTGACTTGCTGAAGGTCACATGACTAGGAAGCGTTTGTGTCTAGATTTGAACTCCAGTGTTCCTCACTCCTTTATCCACAGCACCCACTACCTGCTGGACTCTACCTTTAAGAGACGCCATCCCATGAATGCAGCTAGGTGGCTCAGTGGGTAGAGCACCGGCCCTGAAGTGAGGAGGATCTGAATTCAAATGCGGCCTCAGACCAAACACTTGACACTTACTAGCTGTGTGACCCTGGGCAAGTCACTTAACCCCAATTGCCATTAAAAAGAGAGAGAGAGAGAGGAGAGAGAGAGAGAGAGAGAGACAAAGAGAGAGAGAGAGAGAGAGAGAGAGAGAGAGAGAGAGAGAGAGAGAGAGAGAGAGATGTCATCCCCAAGAGGAAACAGGCCCAGAGAACATAGCTTCAGAATACAAACAGTATCAATTACAGAATATCAAGAAGAAAAGACAAGGAGCCTAAACACATGTGGAGTTTTTCAGGGCTGGTAGTGTGAGTTTCCTTGACCATATGCATTTCCTCTGTGTGTGCCTCTCCACTAGAATACACCGTATATGTGATTACTTTTTTATTGATATTGTGTGCATTTGTGGAAGACGGCATCTTAGGTTGATGGGGGGAATGAATGCTCTGTACCCACTATTCATGCCATGCCATTTCAATAAATGTCTTTGCTGTGAGCTAATTTGGTCAACTAGCTGACTATTAAAGTTAAATACACACTAGTGGGGGCTCATGAGTTACAGTTTTAGTAATATGAACCTGGGTGTGTCATCGTTTGGGTGACCGAAATTGCAAGTATGATGTGGTGGGAGGAGGGGTAGCCCAGAGGGGTCACTATACCTATGTTCCAACCAAATAAGACCAGGCATTAGTCCTTACTCCTATCTGAGCCCTCCTCCACCTCTGTGCTGTTGTTCATACTGACCTCTATACTTGGAATGAGCTACAGATCCCCACCAACACTCATCTTGATGTGGTAAACTCTCTTTCCTACAAGGCCCAACACAGGTACCCTAGGAGCCAGAAATCCCTGCCTGGGGTGGGGGACATTAAAGAGAAGGGAAGGAGAATATTTACACAGAGACCAGGCATGGATTGGTGGACACAGAAGACATAAAAGGTAACTCCACTATTAAAATTTGAAGCTGGAGGAAGGAGTACTCAAGCAAAGTGGAGATGGGAGAGAAAACAGCAGCAGAGATGGCCCCAGGGCAGAGCCCCAGGTGCAATCTGGCCTTGCCCTAGCCTGGAGGGGCACTTCCTCACACTAGAACAAGGTAGGGACAAATCACAGAATCACAGAAATTAAGACCCCAGGCCCATCTAGTCCAACCCACACACAAAAGAATCCTCCCATGACATACCCAACAAACAGCTATAGAACCTCAGATTGAAGACCCCTAGTGAGGGGGGACCCACCCCATCCCGTGGGCATCCATTCCATTGGGGCAGCTCTCATGGTGAGGAAGTTGGTCCTGGCCCCTGGCTTGAACTAGGCTTTTGGCACCTTCCTCTCATTGCTCCTGGCTGTACTTCCTGGGGCTGCCCAGAACAAACCCTCTCCCATGTGACAGCCCTTTAAGTACTAGAACAGCTGTCCTGCTCCCCACCCCACTCCTGATCTCTCCTCCTGCCTGACCATGCCCAGTCCTTTAACTGATCTTCGTGGGGTATAGAGAGCCCTGGCTCTTCCTGCTGCCTCCTCTGGGCACTCTCCAGGTGATTACTGCCCATCTTAAACTGTGGTGCCCAGGACTGAACCCAGTAATTTAGAAGAAGCATGACAAAGGCAAAGAAGGGTGGGACTGTGGCCTCTTTGTTTCTTTAAGCTCTCTCTCCTTAATGCAGCCCAAGGTGGAATGAGGATTTTTGGCTGCCATAACACTCTGCTGATTCCTAGCAAGCTTGCAGTCCACTGAAACCCCCAGATCCTTTTCAGAACAGCCTCTATGTATCAGGCCTTTCCAGTTTATATCTGTGACACTGATACTTTGTATCCAGGTATAAAACTTTGTATTTATTCCTGTTGACTTGCCTCTTCTTAGATTCACATCAATGTTCTCGCCCGGGGTGGGCAACTTGTGGCTTCCGGGTCACATGTGGCCCTTGCACTGAACCCAAACTTCACAGAAGAAATCCACAGGTTTCCCACCCCTGTTCTAGCCTCTCAAGAATCTTGGATGCTATCTCTGTGGATTAGCTATCCTTCCTTGCTCCAGTCATTTGCATAACTGCTGGCTTTACCCAGGTCAGTGATAGAAAACAAATACTGAATACACTACCAAGCCCATATCCCTCCCCTGGAGACCCCTTCCATGGGCAGGAGGCATCATTAGCAACCACTTGTTGGGTTCAGTCATTCAACCAATTCTGGACACCCCACCCCACCCCAAATTGGATTATCCTCTAGCCTACATGCCTCTATTTGCTAGAATATGGGGAGATTTTTTATTAGTATTAGTGAAACTGAGGTAAGCTGCATCCACAACATTCCTCTCCTCTCTTCCCACCCTTTGTTTTTTTTTTACTCTCTAGGGTCTGGCTTCTGATCTCATAGCTCAATCACATCTGCTCTCTTCCAAGCTGCCAGTGACCTCTTGGTTACCAAATCCGATGGCCTTTCCTCAATCCTCATTTCCTCATCTTCTCTACAGCCTTTCACACTACTGATCACCCATTTCTCCTCAATTCTCTCTTCTCTCTAGGATTTCAGGACCCCCCCCCACCTTCCCCAGGTTCTCCTCCTACCTCTCTGACCCCTCCTTCTCGGTCTCTTTGGCTGAATCCTCACCCAGATCACATCTTCTAACTACAGGTGTCCCACAGGGCCCTTTCCTGGTTCCTCTTCTCTTTCCCTCTATTCTGCCTCTCTGTGATCTCACCAGGTCCCATAGGTTTCATTGTCATCTCTATGTAGATGATACCCTGATCTAAATATCTAGCCCTAGTCTCTTTCCTACCCTCCAGCATCACATCATAACTACCTTTCCAGGATCTCCAGAGGGGCGTCTCATAGATGTCTCAGACTCAGCATGTCCAAAACTGAACTCGTTATCTTTTCCCTGAGTCCCCCACCCTGCCCCACACACCTTCCTTATTACTGTAGACGGCAGCGTCATCCTCCAGTCCCTCAGGTTCACAGCCTAGGGGTCTTTCTGGACTTCTCACTACAGGTCTCCCCTTCCCCCTCCCCCCATCTAACCTGTTACCAAGTTGATTTCACCTTTGCAACATCTCTCAAATATGACTCTTCCTCTCTTCTGATGCTGCTATCACTCTGGTGCAGGTCCTCATCACATTACACCTAGACCATTCTAATAGTCTACCAGATGGTCTCTCTATATCATCTCTTCCTGTTCCAGTCCAGTCTATTTAGCTGTCAAAATAAATTTCCTAATATGCTGGTCTGACCATGTTATCCCATGCACACATACCCCGCCCCCAATCAACTCCAATGGTATCCCAGGATCAAAATAAAAACTCTGACATTCAAAGTCCTTCATAACCTGGCTCCTTCTATCTTTCCAGTCTTCTTACACCTTACCTTGCCCCACATCCTTTTCCATCCTTTAACACTGGCCTCCTGGTTGTTCCACAAATAGAACACTCCCCTCTCTCCACTCTTGGCATTCCCTCTGGCCGCTTCTTATATCTGGAATGCACTCCCTCCTCACATCCCCCTCCTGGCTGGACTGGCTTCCAAGTCTTAGCTAAAGTCCCATCTTCCTCAAGAAGCCTTGGGCCCATCCCCTTGATCTTATTTCCCTCCTATTGATTATCTCCAATTTATTCTGTCTATAGCTTCTTTGTTACATATTAGATTGTGAGCTCCCTGAGGGCAAGGACTATCTTTGGCCTTTCTTTGTATCTCCAGTGCTTAGCACAGGGCCTAGTTCACAGTAGGTGGTTAATAAATGTTGATTGATTGACAGACTGTTTTAGTAATCTTGTCCAAAAGGGCAGTGAGGTTGGTTAAGCTCTGGTAACTTGTTCTCCATGAAGCCAAGCTGGCTCTTTGTAATCCTCATCTCCCTTTCTGGATATTCACCAAGTGTACCTTTAATGATCCTTTCCCAACTTCTTCCTGGAATTGAAGTCAAGCTCACTACTTATGGTTTGCAGACTTTCTGCTTCCCTTCCAAATCAGGACATTTTCCCTCCCCCTTTCCTCATGATGCTGCCCCCATTTTCCATGATCTTTCAGATATGTCACTCACAGACACCCGGCTCTGTGCAGGTGAGAGTGCCATCCTCAGGGACCAGGTGAGAGTTGTACTTCTGGGTGGGCAGCACCTCAATCATCTCCTTGGCCCTCTGGCGCTCACCCATCTTTGTCTTTAGGTAAATCCCCACGCCAATGTCCGACCCATCCAACATGAACTGCCACCTGCAGAAGGAGAGATTTTGGTTCCTCTTGCCACGTGCTCTGCCCTGGCTCGGATCCTGTGCCCCACGCTCCTGCTCACATGCCCCCACAGCTCCCTTCTGGGGAAGGGGAGACCACACAGAGCCCTACCTGAAGACGCAGCCTGGGAAGAGGATCTCAGTCTCCACCTGGTGGGAGGAGCCCCGATTGACAGACACTGTATGCTCATACTGCATTTTCATCTGGTTCTGTAGGTAGTATCTCTTGGGGACCACGCCCCCATATTTAATCTGCCAGAAGAGAACATGATGACCTTTGGCCTGATGAATTTGCCCTCAGCTGCTGCTCCACTCTGTGCCCTTGGGGGTCCCTTACCTTGGTCAGGTATTTGGGGTTCCCATCAGGATCTGTTAGGGTTCCCCCATACTCTGCAGGCAACTGGTCAGGGTGGATTAATTTCTGCAAATCCTCTTTCCAGTTTGCTGATGGGAGAAAGAGAAGGTTCTAGAGTGAGAGGAGGAAGAAATTCCAAGAAGACAGGTGTGACAGGGAGACTGGCCAGTGAGCCCAGTCCTTAGGACCGTGCATGTTCTCCCCAAGGACAAGTGAGCTCCACTGGAGAGAACGTGCCTCCAGGTGTTGGGGGAATGCGGGTTCTTGGGTTCTGGCTACAGCTTCTCAGTAAATGGCTCTTTGTAAAAGCTAATAGAATGTAATTGGTTAAATGATGTTGGTGTGATGATCGCTGGAGGTTTAGATGACCTAAGGGAGATTCTAAGTATGTGATGATGTTTGGTTTTTCATTCAGTGTCCAACTCTTCTTCACCCTATCTGGGCTTTTCTTGGCAAAGACACTGCAGTGGTTTGTCATTTCCTTTCATGGTTCTTCCTCTGCAGACTGGACTCCGTGCTGGAATGCAGGGCCGGCTCTCATCCCGAGGTGCTGTTTGCTTCTGAACTCCCTCCTTTCTCTGTACACAACACAGGGCCTCCCTCTGCAGGTCCACTAGTCCTGTGCATCGGTCCCTTTCACTGTCAGCCTTAGATCTGTGGTCCAGAACCAGGGAGTGGGCAACAAGGCTGCCCGTTGGCAACTTTCCCCATCAAATGCCCTGTGTGGGTCTGAGCCTTCATCTGGCCCTGGTGCATGGTCTTTGCCAGAAAGCTGGAGTGGAGAACCCAGTGCCCAGTGTCCACTGATCTGCTGGTACATCTCTCTATTCTGAGTGGGGCTTCATTTACTGTGACTTTTTCTGGATTTCTCCAGTAGGACTTGGTCTATTGCATTTCTAGGTCTGTTTGGACAAGTTTTGTGGCATTTCCTGCTACTCCACCATCTTGGTCTTGCCTTTCATGTCTGGACAAAATCATCTGTCTGACACTGAAAGCCCTTATAACCTAATCTTCTTTTCCCTCCCCCCTCCACTCTTCTTGTCTTCTTACACTTTATTCCCACGTATTCTTCTATCTTGTGACACTGGAATCCTTGCTGTTCCTTGAACAAGCCCCTCCATCTGCCACCTCTGGGCATTGGAGTAGGCACCCAGTGCCTGGAACGCTCTATCTCCTCATCTCCACCTCTGGACATCCCTGGCTTCCTTCAAGTCCCAACTTAAATCCCACCTTCTGCAGGAAGACTTTTCTGATCTCTCTTCATCTAGTGCCTTTCTTCTGCTGAGTATTTCCTAGTTATCCCCTATATCACTTTTGTTAGTCCACAGCTGTTTGCAGGTTTTCTTCCCTATTAGACCATAAGCTCCTGGAGGGCAGGGACTATCCTTTGCCTTTCTTCTTACCCCCAGTTCTGTGCCTGGTACATAACTGGCACTTCACAAATGTTTATTGACTGACTGAAAAACAAATATGCAGAAATAATATCTTAGGCAAGGAAGTTATATCTTTTTCATGAGATCATAGAACTACAGCTGTCACAGACTTTAGAGTCCATTTGGTCCAACCTCCTCATTTTTCAGAAAAGGAAACTGAGGTCCAGAGAGGTTGAACTGATTGGCCTAAGGACATAGAGGTAGGAAAATGTCAGAGCTTGGATTTGAACACACACCCTCACACTCCAAATCTATTCTTTCTCTTACCCCATGCTGCATCAAAATCCCTTCAAGGATCTATGATTCTGTCATTTTGGAGACTCTAACCATGACGAGAGATCCCTACCTCTTTGCAACTTATTAGATGGTCTTCATGAGTTTTTGTGGCTCCAAAATTATTCCCTATTGGCCAACCTAGTGACAAGCCTCTCTGAACTTCTTCCCCCTGCCTGATTCCTTATTCCCATTTCCCTCAACACTCTCCCCCAAATGTCCCCAAATGCAGCCTACCCTTTCCACTGTGCCCTCTGGAATGCCTGGTATGTAGGCAACAAACTTGCTTTCATCTTCAATCTTTTCCTTTCTTACTCCTTCCTTCACCTGGCTCCCTCCTGATGGCACCGCCTCCCTATCCGCCCTTTCTAGCTACAGCTACCCTTTTATTCATTTCCCCAACTCACAGGTTGAGATGAGGAAGTTGGGACAGTTGATCTCCTTTGCCATTACCGGGGTCTCCCTCTACCTCTAGCACTTATTTACTCCTCCTCCTTTGAGGTTCACTCAATCCATAGCTAGTACCCAATCCATATCCTGGTAGCTGCTATGTACAGATCTCCAAGTGACTTTCTTTCTTTCCTATGTGAGTTTAGGGCAGGCCTCAGCCTTTGTCTCCTCCTCAACTCCTGCCATCATAGTAGGGGACTTCAACAAACATATTGATGCTCTGGCAAACACTCTAACCTCACAGCTCTTCAATGGGTTCACTTGCCCTGAGCTACTCCTGTACCATCCCTCAGCCACACACAAAGATGGTCATAACTCTTCATCTTGCCATCACCCACAAATGAAACACATCCATGTTCAAGAACTAGGAAATTCACTTATTTGATCACTCACAAATGAACCACTTCAATGTTCAAGAACTAAGAAATGCTCTTGTCTGATCAAATCTATTAGTAATTCTGACCCCAATTCCATTTCATTGCACTTCTTCCTCTGCCTTGCAACACCAAATCCTATCTTTCACCCTCACCATGACCTCCAACCCGGCCACTGCCCAGTTCTTTCACAAGTCATCATCCCTGCACTGGCTACACTCTCTTCCCTTCCCCTTCTTGATGCTTTGGTGAACCAATTCAACTCTGCACTGTCCTCTTCTCTTCTGTCCCTTGCCCCTTTATCTTGTCACAGATCTAGTCCTGCCTTAGATCCCCCATCCTCAAAAAAGAAAACCCCTCACTTGATCCATCCCTCCCTGCTGGCTGTTATCCCACATCTGTCCTCCTATTTTGACTAACCTCCTTTAGAAGATCATCTACTTCCTTTCCTCTCACTTTCTTCTTAATTTTCTACAGTCTGGCTTCTGACCTCATCAATCAATCAGAATTGTTCTCCTCAAAGTTACCCATGATGTCCCAACTACCAAATCCAATGGCTTTTTCTTAAGCCTCATCCTTCCTGAGCTCTCTTCAGTCTCTTACACTGGCCACAATAGCCATAATATTCTCTTCACTCTAATTTTTTTAGGATACTTCTCTCTCCTGGTTCTCCTCTGACTTATGTGTCCATTCTTTCTCAGTCTCCTTTTCTGCATCTTCATCCAGGCCCTGTCCCCTAACCTTGGGTATCACCCTTTTCCCTTCTCCCTCTATACTGCTTCACTTGATGATCTCATCAGTTCCCATGGATTCAATTGTTATCTCTATGTTGACCATTCTCAAATCTACTTACTGAGCTCTAACCTCTCTGCTGACCACAGTCTCAGATCTCCAGTTGCGTATTAGACATCTCAAACTGCATGTCCCATAGACATCTTAAATTCAACATGGCCACGTACTTTCCCTCTATTGCTTCTTTCCAATTTTTCCTGTCTCTAACTTCTTTGTGAAATAGTTTGTATACTATCTCCCTGTATTAACCTGAGTTTCTTCAGGGTAGGGAATGTCTTTTGCCTTTCTTTATATCCTCAGTGCTTAGCACCATAGTAGGTGCTTGACAAATATTTATTGTCTGACTACCTGACCATCAGACCCACAGTCTGTTGGTAGGTTCTTAAGATTTTACACTTTGGGTGATCTTGTAATTAAGGAAGTATGTAAAAAATATACCTGCCAGATCTATGGATAAGGGAAGAGTTTATAACAACAATAAAAAGAGAGATATAGAAGACCACAGGAAGTAAAATGGTGAGTTTTGATTAGATGAAATTAAAAAGCTTTAGCACAAACAAAACCAATGCAGCCGAGATGAGAAGCAAAGCAGAAAACTGGTGACATTTTTTTACAGCAAGTTCCTCTGACAAAGGCCTTATCTTTCAGATATATAGGGAACTGAGGCAAATTTGTAAAATAAAATAAAAGTCATTCCCCACTTAACAAATGGTCAAAGGATATGAACAGGCAATTTTAGAAGAAGCCAAAGCTATAAGAGTGAAGTAAAAAAATACTCTAATTCACTACTGATTAAAGCAATGCAAATTAAAACAACTCTTAGGTACCATCTGACATGTATCAAATTGGCTAACATGATTGAAAAGAAAAATGACAAATTCTGCAGGGGATATGGAAAAATTGGGACAAAATGCACGATTGGTGAAGTTGTGAAGTGGCCCAGCCATTCTGGAGAGTAATTTGGAACTATGCTCAAAGAGCTCTAAAACTGTATGCTACTCATTGACTCAGCAATACCATGACTAAGTCTGTACCCCACAGAGATCAGAGAAAAGGGAAAAGGACCTATTCATACAAAAGTATTTAGAGTAGATCTTTTTGTGGTGGGAAAGAATTGGAAATTAAAGGGATCCCCATCATTGTTGTTGTTTTTCACTCTTCTTTCTCAAGAGAACCAATGATATCAGGAAGATAATGTCTTGACCTGCAAGTGAATTGGATTTAAGTGAGGCAGGACTGTGCAAAATCATCAGCGTCACTCTCTCTTCCTGAGCCATCTGGGTCCAGCGGCAAGATATAGACCAGGATGACTAGAGTTGGTCCCAGATATAGTGGAAGAAGTTGGCCTTTTTAAACTAAGGTTTTCCCCAGGTCTCAGTTTGTCTGAGGCAACACCCATCCACTGGTTAATCTAGGTAGAAATGAGGCAAAAGATGGCCTCTTTTACCTACTCAAAAAAAAAATCTATCTGGGAGGGGAAGACCCTCAAGGTTTCTGGCTAGAACAGCAATGATTGCTTTTTACATATATTCTGAGCCAATAAAATCCAAACAATGGTCAACTGAGGCTTGGGACCTATTATTGTCCAATCAGGAGAGCCAGAATGATGTGAGTTGAAGGTATAGTCAAGTAGCTCCATTTGAATCTCAATGGGCTTTATCAAAGACTGGTTTTCCAGAGCTCAGTTTAAAGAACTTTATATTCCTTTGAGCAGAGTACCCACATGTAATTGTAAGATTTCTAATGTGGAAGAGGGAGGAAAGGGAGGAAGGAAGGGAGGGAGGAAGGAAGGAAGGAAGGTAGAAGAGAAAGAAAGAAGAGGAATGGCTGAACAAGTTGTAGTGTATGATTTTGATGGAATACTATTGTTCTGTAAGAAATGACAAGTAGGATGGTTTCAGAAAAACAATTCTAAAGGATATATAATGAAAAACACTTTTCACTTTCAGTGAAAAAATACATTTTTTAAACTTTATGTTTTCGGGGGTATTTGTCTGTTTTCTTTTAACATGGCTAACATGGAAATATGTTTTGAATGATATCACAAGTATAATTGATATAAAATTGCCTGCCTTCTCAAGGAGAGGGTTGGGGAGAGAGAGAGAATCTGGAACTCAAAATTTTTAAAAATGAATGTTAAAAAATTTCTACATGGAATTGGGAAATGTTTCATGAAATTAATAAAATAGATAGTTCGGATTTTTTCCAGGCAATTGGGGTTACATGACTTGCCCAGGGTCACACACAGCTAGTAAGTGTCAAGTGTTTGATCTGAGGCTGGATTGGAACTCGGGTCCTCCTGAATTCAGGGCCGGTGCTCTATCCACTGAGCCACCTAGCTACCCTTGATAGTTTTTTTTTAAAAGACTTTACATTTTGGTGGGATCTGGAAGAAGTTGAGTTTTGTTATTACAGTCAGGGGGAGGCATGAAAGTCAGACTTCAGGGGATGGAGTCACAAATCAGCATAAGACAAATTCAACCAGGCTCAGGATTCTTCCCTAATCCTTTACTAAACTTTTCCAAGTCTGGCTTGACCCATCCCTATTTCTTCTAGTCAAAAATCGCCTAAATGATGACCTCTGATTTATACCCTTCATCCACTCAATAACATTCCCTTGAAGAGAAGCTAGGAGGGTCAGGACTCACTCACCTCCCAGAACCAAAATCTTTTTACGTGTCTCCTCTGAAATGAAGGGTTTGACCAAGTTGTAGGCTACAGGGAACAGTTTAGGAGCTGAAAGAGACAAAACTACCTTGAGATTACAGCCAGAAAGAGAAGATGATTCTGCATAAGGTCAGGGCAGCCCTGGGCCAGCATAAAACCAGCCAGCATCAGCTCTGGGGTATAAATGACTCATATCACCCACCATTGCCCTTGGAAACTCAACCATGCTGATCCTGGCTCTTGGGTTCCCTTGAAGGAGGTGAATATAAAATAAATTGTTCTAGGGATGTTGATGCCAAACCCTAATGGGGGACAATTCCCATCATTTGCTGAACCCTGGCAAAGTCCAGCAGGTGCCCCCTTGCATCGATCCCAGGCCCCTCTTGCCCTCTCGCCCATTCTATCCCGTGCCCTGCCATTGCTCACTTACCTTTGACAACAATAAGATACTTGACAGTCTCGGGAAAGTTGTTCTCAAATGTGGAGAAAAACTGCAAAGCCAAGAGAAGCCTGCTAATGGCCTTCCTCATGTCAGCCAGTGCCCACCTCCCTGAGACCTCTGGGAGACAGTCCCAGGCAGCCCCAGAAGGACTCCCTCTCCAGGGCCCTTCAGAGCTCCCACTGAAGACCCAATGCTCTCGGTGCCTGGCCTGTCACTGTCTTGACATCACTGCCCAGTCTACTGCTCTTCCAGCCTCCAGAGCTGAGAAGGGGTCCATACCTCTACAGGAAATAGAGCTGGAAAGGCTTCTAAAGGTCAAGACCCTATTTTACAGATGCCATAACTGAGACCCAGAAATGTTAAAGAGCTTGGCCAAAGTCATTCAGACTCAGAGACTTTTTGGGTAGTGAGCTTCCCAGACGGCGTCTGGGACCTCAGGTCTTCTAACCCAACCTGTGCCCAAACAAGAACCCCCTTTATAGCATCCCTGACAAATGACTTTCTAGCCTGTGCTGGATAGGGAACTCCCTACCTGCCAAGGCATCCCCCTCCACCTCTGGACAGCTCTCGTTGCTACAAAGTTTTCTCTTCCCTCAAGCCTAAGTTATGTTTGGTTTTTTGGTAATTTGCAATAATGAATAGCGAAGGTGGATCTAGAATATTTGATTTCAACTACCAACCCAGTTTTCTTGCTTCCACATCTTGTGAGAGACCATTAGATCCCCAAAGAGGGACCCTTGGAGACCGCAAGATTACAGGATTGAAAACTGGAAGAGACCATTCCCTTCATTTTACAGATCAGTAAACTGAGTCCCAGAGAGGTTAGGTAGATGATTTACTCAAGCTCACACAGTTGTGGGCCTTGAACCCAGGTCTTCCAATTCCCAATTTGGTGTTCTCTTTCTGCCCCCCACCCCGCCACTGCCCGGGGTATCCTGTCCCCACAAAACTTCAGCTTGATTTTCCCTGATGTAGAAGTTTTTAGCCAAAGGCCTCACTATGCTGTGAACTCAGAGCCCTGGCCCCCAGCGTCACCCTAAGGTGAAGGGAAAGATTTAGTGCTCTAGGTTCCGGGCTGCCCCCCAGATCAGCTGAGCTGATGCCAAGTCTCTCCCACCCCTACATCCTCATTCCCTCCTCACCTCCTGGTAGACTTCCATAGCTGGCTTCCAAAAGTGTTTCAGACCCAGATACTCCAGGTCAAATACTATAATGAAAGTTTCAATCTTCTTTTCCAGCTGTAAGGACAAAAAGACAGGCCTGGTAATCTGCCAGGGGCAGGTGACTGGCTGTTTGTCATCCAACCAGGGTGAGCTGCATTCATGAGATTCAGAGCTGGGAGAGACGGTGGAGGTCACCCAGCAGGAAGGTCATATGTTCGGTAAGTCAGCATTGGAAGGGACCAGAGAGACCATTTTCTCCAGTTCCCTAATTTGGGGATCAGGTGTCTAGGGCCTGAGCTTCACTGCAGCTCAGTGATACCGTGGATAGAGCCATGGGCCTCATTAGAATGCACTCACTGAACTCTCTGGGCTTCCTGAGACAGAGGCAGCTGGACCCTGGCCTCAAATGTGCCTTTCAGATCTTAGCTGGTGCTCCTACAAGGCTTGCCTGATGGGGTTAACACAGCACATGAGCACATGGTCCTGAACAGCAAGTTATCTAGGCTTATGAGTGTGGGAGTCACGACTGAGGGGGTGAAGCTTTGGGTCAGTCTTTTCAGTCCTGTCCAGCCTGCATGACTCCATTTCAGTATTTTCTTGGTGGAGATACTGGAGTGGTTGGCCATTTCCTTCTCCAGCCATTTTACAGATGAGGAAGCTGAAGCAAGCAGGAGAAGTGACTTGCCCAGGGTCATACAGCTACTGCATGTCTGAGGCCAGATTTGAACCAGCAAAGATGAGTCTTCCTGATTCCAAGGCCAGTGCTCTAACCAATGCACCACCTAGCTGCCCTGGGCTGAAGCTAGCCATGGAAAATGGGGGCTGGAGGTAGCTGATGAGGGATTTTGGCAGTTTTAATATATAACAAATGGTGTCTTCTAAACTTTACTGAGCCAGGGAGCCAGCTTCATCTCTACTGGGACAAGGGAATTGGAGCCAGTGAGGGCAATAGGCTACTCGTGGGTAACTGGACTGCCATCTAGTGGCCAGCCAGCATATTACACCATCAGAGGGCTAAGTAATAGATGCTGTCTCTGGAACAGGAGAGCACAAGGGAAGGGACTGAGGTGGTCGCGGTTGGCACTGAGGGCACCTTTGGGCACTGCAGCCAATTCTAACACCCCTGCCCCAATTAGAAAAATATTTATGAAGCAATTACTGCACGTGAGTCAGTGCTAGGAGCAGTAGGGGATAAGAGACACTGTCCCTGCCCTGCTCAATAGCCCTCCAGGGCTTCCTGCCGTTTCTTGGATTAAGAAACAAAACTCAGCCTGGTATTCGAGGTGTTCTAGAATCTGGCTCTAATCTCTCCAGCCTTAGCTCATCCTGTTCTGTTCGAAACAAACTGGATCACCCTACTTACAGCCTCTGTCCTAAACTGTTAGGGATCTATAAGGATGTAGAGGGCCACAGGCTCTTCAAGGGGTCTCACTGATGGGTGAAGGCCCCTCTCGGGCGCTGATCTTTGAGCAAAGGTCGCCTGGTTCAGTGCTTCATTGTATGGATCTGTAACAATCTTTAACTCCCCTAGTTATTGTATGGTCATTAGCAGTCTATTCTGGGATTGGAGTCAGGTAAGTGCACAGGAGGTGCATGCATTGTCTTTAGCACAGCATGAGCTCTACGTCATTGTAACTTGATAAGAAATTCCTGTTACTTTACTACTTAAGTGAATGCTTTGCAAAAATTAATCGGAGTTGCTTCCATCCTGCCTCCCGCCTCATCAATGCACATTGGAGATAGAAAATCAAGCTGGTCTTGATTCATCAGGTGATTGGGAAATCCTAGGTCCTAGGTAGGCTCTATAGCCAAGTGAACTAGTTGTGCACAACAAACTGGCGCCCAGCGTGGGGCTGCACTGCTTCCGTGAAGAAGATACGAGAGTAAGACAGCTGCGTGAAACAGTCGGAAACGTCTGGACCAAGAAGACGCGACACCCACCTCAAGACACCGAGGTCTGTTGGAGCCAGGCAGCCTCCTTGTGAGAGGTCTCCGAATCGTATCCTATGGCACAAAACTAGGGAGAGGTAAGATAAAGTCTTATCATGAGGCAAAATCTAGGTAAACTCTCAGATAAGGAACAGAATGTTAGAGGAATATATAAAGTGATTGAGGAACAGGGGTGCTCGGTAACTCCTGAGAAAATAAGAGAGTTTCTAGATATTATTGATATAAGATCTCCATGGCACCCCAGAGAAGGGAGTTTAGATTTAGAACAACGAAAAATAGTGGGAGAACAATCGACAGAATTTTATAACACCAAAGGCCCAAAATCAGTTCCTCTGGGTACTTTCACTATCTATAATCTTATAAAAATGGGCTTGTAGGAGCTGTGAGAACAAAGGAAGCTCCCACCATGTGCCATGAGGAATTTCAAAAATTCCCCCCGTGAGGAATTTCCAAAAATCCCAAGGGGAAGTAGAAAAGAAACGTGTAGTCACAGCACTATATTGTGGACATTGTGGAGCATTACAAAGTGAAAAAGTTTCCTTTTATAAAAACCAAAACCTTAAGAAAGATTTTGCCTGATTTTAGAATACCATGAAAAGAAAAGATAAAATAAAATGGAAATAGTATTATTTCATTTGTGTAGGGAATTTCTGAGAAGTTTCTCACTTTTGGATTTTCCCTGTCATTTTTTTCTATGTTTGTCTGTGTCTGTGTGAATGATGGTCTGCGATTAATGTTTGTGATCTGTTTAATCTTTTACTGCCAGGCAGCCAAGGGCTGCAACTGGATTTTGAAATGCTGATAGTGACTCTCTCTCCTTCCCCCTCCCTAATACCAGCTGCATTCCGGGAGCGGGTGGATGAGGGAGAGAATGGGAGAAAAAGTACTTCATTATATAGGTTATATAATTTGACAAAAGGCAAGAAAGTTTAAGTATACAGGAATAAGAACAGTATGGATAGAAAGAATAATACAATCTGTTTGCAGGAATAGCAGGAATAGATGATTTGAGAGTAAAAGATTTGGAAAACTTTTGGAGAAAAAATTCTCCTTCTTTTTTGCATTCTAAAGCTCTGGCCAAAGCTTTGGGTGTAAGATTGAAAGATTATGTTGAAAAATACTCTCTTCCTTTCTCTCGAATTCCAACCCTGGCCAGGTTGGGGTGGGGGAGAAAGAAGGAGGAGATAAGGAAGACAGTTTTCCTCTTCAAATCAAAAAGAAAAGTTTTTAAGTATTGGAACACAATCTAAAGATAATTTAGTTCATTCACATTAGCAATATGCATGTTTCAAGTTTTAAAAATCTAGTCTCATTACAAATTGGTACACTTTTATGTGTTATGTCAAGCAATTTTTAATAGTTTTGATGTTATTAAAATGTGAACTAAAAGAAACTGAAAGGTAGTGAGATAACTGTGTAAATCCAGCTAAATTATTTTATCAAGTCCGGTTAATCTTGTTCTATGATGTTTTATAACTATCATTTAGAAAATCAGGTATTTCTATCTTTACCTGTGATTAAAAGAACAGCTTAGAGCTAAAACAATTTAACTATCACTCATGAAAATTACCAAAATTGTTAACTAAGTTGTTTGAAGTTACTGTTTTAAAGCTAAGACTGAGAAATTGCTACTTTATATAAATAGTTTCTAATAATTGGCTTTTTCACCAAGACAAGTTTAAATGTGGGAAAGAAAGGATGTTAAGTAAAATTTCTTATGTATGTGAGTCCTAGTAAATCTTTATTGATTATTGCACTTCTATAAAAATAATTAACTGTATCTGGCTTTAAGCCAGAATCAGGGAAGCTTACTACTTGAGTAAAAGACTCTTAGAACTATAATTAACTTTGTTTTGAGTTTGAATTCGGATATGGTCGTCTCATTAAATCAGTATTTCCCATTTTCCCTATTATGATCCATTAAGGAGAAATGTTTTTTACCAGGTGCCAAAATTTTGTTCATAACACTATTAAACTTGTTAGTCAGAAATATTCTCAGACAGAAATAATTTATTGTATGGATGATAAACTTTGCAGTTGTCCTACTACTACCAAACTTTCCTTATTAAAGCCCAAGTTTTAACAAGCTTTTCAGTCAACAAGCCTTTCAGTGTCATAGATTTATAATTACCCCTGAAAGGGTACAGAGGGTGTCACCCTTTGCTTACTTTGGGTGTATTGTTCTGCAGTCTGCAGGTATACCACCAAAATGTTACAAATTAATCAAGATTCCTTGATAATTTTTAATAATTTTCACATGACTTTTATGGATATTAATTACTTTAAGCTTGCCTAATAAATCACCACTAATCAATTATTTTAAGACGAAGTTAAACTACTAGGATAACAGATAGCTAAAACTCAATTCATTTCCCCTTAATTTGTGGGCGCGATATTTTACGTTTACTGAGAGCTGTTATTTTCTCCCGCCCACTGTTTTTGCTTTTTCTATCCATAAAACTGGCAAAATACAAAATGAAATCTAATGAACTTGTTTGGTTCCTTAAAATTCACCTGTTTTTATTATTGCAAAGAAGTCAGGAAAATTAACGATGCTTTATGACTTCCTAGCCTTTGACAGTTATTGATTTAAAAGATTGCTTTTTTACTATTCCATGACAAAAAGCCAAAAATGATACATTACATGGATGACATTTTACGTGCTCATCCCAATCCTGAAGTGTTGGAAGAAATCTTGTTAAAAATACAAAATTTGCTGCAAAGTCATGGGCTTCACATAGCCCCAGAAAAAATTCAAAAACATCCTCCAAAAATAGACCTACAAAAGTTGAAAACATCTAATGATTTTCAGAAACTTGTAGGAGATATACAGTGGCTTCCATCACAGATAGGAATTCCAAATTATGAATTGATACCTTTATATGATTGCCTTAGAGGTGATCCTCAATTAGATTCACCCTGAACACTGACCCTTGAGGTGAAACACACATTGTTGTATATTCAGGAACAAGTAGTTGGAGCACACAGAGACAGGATTGATATGCATGAAAGCGTGGAAGCTTCTATATTTAACACTCCAAAATTCTCCAACAGCAGTGATACATCAGAAACAAAGGCTTTTTAGAAATTATATGGCCTTGATAGGGGACTTAATACATAAAATT